GTCCACAGTGATGATGCTTGCTGGGGCAGAAAGGTGGCGGGTAACTAAGGCAGCCGTCACTTTCCAGTCCAGTTAGTTATACGAACACACTGGGGAGACAGCCAGGTGTGTGGGATGATACAGGTTCTCCAGGCACAGCCCCTCGCTCTCCAGGCCCTGATCAGCTGTGTGACTCAGGTATGTCAGTGGCCTTCCTGTGCAATGAGAAGACTTCCGGTCTAGCCCTGCTTACCTTATATGTTCTGCTCTATGCTGGACACCTCCACATGTCTGTCTGTCCCAGGGGCACCCAAGCCACTCTCACCTCCAAACTCTATCTTATCCCATATTCTCTATCCTGCAAATGACACCACCATCAACCCAGTCATCCATCCCAAAACCTAAGAGTCTTCCAGACACTTCCCCTAAGCTCTTCTCCCATAGTCTGTCAATCTCCCCTTAACACTTAACACATTGTGTTGTCATTGATTGTAATCGTATGTGTCACCTGCTGGTCTACATGATCCATGAGGTTTAGGGGCCATGTGTCCATTATTTGCACTGCGTCCCCAGAGCCTAGGATCATACATGATAAATGTTTGAATTAATAAAGAAATGAGTGTTGGAGATGAGTATTGGCCCAGAGGCAAAATTTTAAATTATGGGAGAAGCAAGGTGTCTGCAGCCTGCTCTTTCTCTTCAGGCCTCTTCCATCTCTCTGAACCTCCCCATCTTCAGGGTGCGTGGCCCTTTATACTTTCAGATTGGGCTGATGAGTGTTTACTGAGACTGAATTTCGGGAATGTGCTGCCTCAGTCAGTTTCTAGCACTTCACACCTCAAGCGCAACACATCAGGCATCAGCAAACACACAATCATACACATGTGGAGGGCTCCTTGCTTTCCTGGGACAAGCCACCTCCCACTTTCTGTCTCACCGAAGAGCTCCTAGAGGCAATAGAGCATACATCAGGGCTCATTGGAATCAAGCATCTTGGGCGCTGGAAATGCAGTGGACATTTGGCATCCAGGGGAACCAGGGCATCAAAGCCATTAGGGATTCATGTTGCCTGAGGTGTGATCTGACCAGCTTACCATAGTGTCGGCGTCCCTGAGGGTGGCACAGCCTATCCCTGAGCCTGACTGCCCACACATACCAGAGAAACTTCTCAGTCTCTATGCCTGTCTGTCCCATACGCAGTTTACTTGGCAAAATGAGAAAGAAAACTGTAGTGAAAGCTGGACAGTGGTTAACTTGTGGTGTGCGGTGGTGCCAAGGAAGTAACGATTCTCAGTGGAAACATCCTTTCTGGAGAAAGCCAAGAGCCCGTAGGAACATTTGAGTATCTACGAACTTGATTTATGAAACTCTCTGTTCTTCCCACTTAAAATGTCAAGTGATTAAAATTCTTAGAAGTCGTCACTAGACCCTTCACCTGCTGGTGGAGTCCCCCGGACACCTCCGCTCGTGGTGCGCCCTTTGTCCACCCCCAAGTAATCAGACTTGGGGACCTCATTCCAGACCCACAGGGCTGTCCTGGCCCTTAGACCCTCCTCCGGACTAAACTCCCACGTGGAGGGAAAGGAGACCCTTCGAGTGGGTCACTCTGGCACTTCCATCTCGACATAGAGGGATTTTGATAGGACCTGAAAAACAATCCATGACAGTTAAACTTTCTTTTAACCAGCTAGTGTTTAAAGCAGACTCCTCTTTCTGCTTCTTCCAAGCCTCCCCCTCACAGTGGGGCTCTGAGGTGGTGTGGGGGCTTGGAGCTGGGGAGGGGTCGGGGATGGGCTGAGACTCAGAGAAGAGTGTCTGGGAAGAGGGGTGTTAAGAAATAGGTGGCTGTTATGCGTTGGATTTTGTCTCCTAAAAAGATAAGATGAAATCCTAACCCCCAGGACCTGTGACTATGACCCGAATTGGAAACAGGGTCTTTGCAGGTGTAATGAAGTTAAGATAAAGTCCTTAGGGTGGGCCTACTCCAAGATGACTGGTGTCCTTATAAAAAGAGGAAAATACCGTGCGAAGACAGAGACGCACAGGGAGAACTCCACGTGAAGATGAAGGCAGAGAACCAGGTGATGCTTCGATAAGCTTAGGAATATCAAAATTCGCCAACAAACCACCAGAAGCTGGGGAGAGGTCTGGAGCAGCTCTCAGCAGCTCTACTCACACCTTGATTTCGGACTTTGAGCCTCCAGAACTGTGAGAAAATAAGTCATTGTTTTAAGCCACACAGTTTATAGTACTTTGTTACAACAACCCTCACAAAAAATAACGCAGGCAAGAGAGTCAAGTGCATCTGAGGATGGCCAGTGGCTCTGAAACTTGAGCATGCAATAGAGTTACCGGGAGGGCTTGTTCAGACAGTGCTGGGCCCCACCCCAGAGTGGCTGGTTCAACAGGTCTGGAGTGTCACCCAGGAATGTGCATCTCTTACAGGTCCCCAGGTGGTGCTGATGCTGCTGGTCTGGGAACCACATTTTGAGAACCACTGCTCTAGGAGACAGGGTGTGGCCTGGGCATTGGAACCTTCTAGCCTCAGTAATAAAGAAATGTACATCCCCGCTGATATGAGCTGTGCCAGCCCACTTAGAAAACTGCAGTAGCACAATCAGTTTTCATTTTAAATGATTTCTTCAGTTTTAAATGTTTTATACATGTGTTGACTCACAAACTCCCACAATCACCCCATGTGGTAGATATAGTCCCTATTTTGACAGACAAGGAAAATGAGGCTCAGGTGGGGGTGTGAATCCTCCTCCTGACTCCCCAGCTCAGGATTCCACGCTCAGATCCTGGCCATGGGGCATCCCTGCCTGGTTCACCTCTCAGAACTTAGATTTCCCTCATCCTTGTAAATCACATCCATCATGGCCTTGTCGGGGAAGAAAACTGGAAAAGACAGCCATTCCCATTCACGGGCGGCCAGAGCTGCACACCAAAGGTGCCTCACGGCTCTGCTCCCTCTCCCCAGCCATTGTTACCACTTCCTGCCGGATCTCATGATCTGGGGCCTCTTTCCTGATCCTCTTTTGTTCCCAAATGCCCTTTGGATATGACTTCCTCCTTCCGGCATCCACCTGCTAGTAGCAAACCGGGCCCCACACGGTTTGGGGCTAAGAAGCCTGGAGTGCAGTGTAGACAGGTTATGAGAAACATTTGAGAGGATGAGCAAGGATTTGTAGCATCCAAAGTCAGATAGGTATCAGCAGCCCAGCTTGCTGAGGAGCCTCCTGGTTCTGGAAGTAGCTCTTGTTGTCACACGTCGTCACAGGGCAGGCTGACAGGCCTTTCTTCCTCTTCCATGTCCTTTAACAAGTGCTGGTTTAATGCAAACTGGATGGGAGTGTGAGTTTTTAACCCAGGCCAGGTGTGGACACAAACTGCTGGGCACCTATGAGATTCACTGAGAGAGGCCGATGACATAGAGTGCAGAGATAGATCTTTCAGCCGAGGTTCCACACCTTGAATTCCAAATTCTCTAAGCCCTTGAACCCCCAGCCTCGCAGGCTGGAAGCACCTCCACTGTGGGCACTGGCCATCACATCCCCAGGACTGGTGTTCAGTGCTGGGACCTGTGTGGCCACAGAGGCCCATGGCCATGTGTCTGTGGGTAACCCTGGAGCTAAGTGTCCTTCTGCCCTGGAGCTAGGGACAGGGGCAGAATGGAGGAAAAGCATGCCCAGGACTTTGACATGAGCCCCTGAGGGCTCTTTGTGGCATGCAACATATCAAACTGCATGAGAGGAATTATCCACATCCACTCAAGCCAGCAAGAATGGACTGAGCACTGACCCTCATTACAGGTGTAATGAGAGCTGTTATGCAAGGGGCAGAGAGAAGGGGGCTCAGTGCAGGCGTTTCTCAAGAACTTCTAGTCTAGGTACCACCTGGGACAGTCCCCTCTCAAGGGAGCATAGTGTAAAGCTCTACTAGAAATAGAGTCAAGTGCCAAAAATGTAGTCAGAAATTGTAAGATGCACGAAGCAGATCGTTGGGCACAGAAGGGCGTCGTGGTGGGGCAGGGAAGGGAGAACTTCACGGATGGCCCCATCAGAGGCTTGAGGGGCAAGGAGAGAGAGAGAAGAATGAGGGGCTGCCCACGGTGGGGAAAGGTCACTGTGGCTATGAGCAGGGAGGACTGGGGCTCATGCAGCCAAGACAGACGTCATCACGCTGGCACTGGTGCTCCCCACACTCTGGCAGGGAGGTGCGTGTTTTATTTTACAAAAGGCAAAATCGCCCAAGTTGAAATGCTCTGTACATTGCTTTGGACTCAAGAAGGTGCCACAAAAGGTTTGTTTTGAGCTAATGTAAACAACACTTAAGTGGATAAGCACTTTCTGACATAACACAAAACCAAGGAAAAACCGGAGCCCGTTCTTTCTTCCTTTCCCCCATATGGTCCCCAGTTACGCAGGTGATGTGGGAATGCTTTCTCACTGCGCATGATTCCAACTCCTCAAACAACAGTTAACACAAAGTCCCTTCATCATCTCTCCGACTCCCCAACCCAGAGGACTCTCAGTCAATAACTTGGTGACCACGTTTTCTGATTTTTCAGGGAAACCTTGTCATTTTCATAAATGTCAACTCTAAGCTTTTACCAATTTTGGTTTAAAAGGTGGAGTATTCTGCTCTTTACCAATTTTGCCTCCCCAATTTTGAAACATAAATCTAAATTATTGATCTAGTACTCAGCCAACGATTCTTTTGGTGGTGTCTGAATTTACTGTGAAAATACTCTTCTCCCAGAAGAAACAGCACATACCCCTGCAGAGATGCAGGAGCTTCGTTGTTATTTATTACGATGCGTCAGAGGTGGATCCATCATGAATCTAGTGAAGTTCAAGCTTTAGGGCTCCTCGCTTACCATCCCACACTCTATATCTAGCTTTGTATTTATGATTTTATATTCTTTTTCTTAAAGATCCCTCCCTCCCCCAAAATTGTATTAATTTCAGGCCCCCAACCCGAGACCCCTCCCTGGATACAGTTTCAAAGCCAATGACCCATTAGACTTTATTCTCCTCTAAGGGCAGGGAGCCTCCAATCTGGTCGATATTGTCTGTTTCTGAGGAAGCTCTTCCCAGGGAGGAAGAGGAGGAGGATGCTGGTGCTCTGAGTTTTAAAATGCTGAGGAGCCATTTCCTATAATGTGTAGATGCAAAGAAGTAAATGATGGGGTCAATGCCACAGTTCATGTTCATAAGGGACACGGTAAGCTGAAGGGACACTTCGAAAGCCCTCTGCTCAGGGCAGGATGGCAGGTAGAGCATTTGTCTCACCATGAACTGGATGATGTTGAGATGGTAGGGGCTGAAGCACACAACCACAACAACCAGCACCGTCAGAGTGAGCGCGCAGGCCCTCCGGTGGTGCCCTTTCTCACTCGTCAGGGGGTTGCCCTGGGCTGTGCCGCACAGCTTCAAGGTGATCTTCATGTAACAAAATAGCATGATCCCCACGGGCCCACAGAAGCTTATAACGCAGGCCACTAGGACAATGGGGGGCAGCCAGAAGACCTCCTTGACACTGATGTACTCCATGCAGGCGATCTTGCCTGCCACAGGCTTGCTCATGGAGATCGAGAGCAAGGGCACCGTCTGCAGAGCCGCCAGGGCCCAGACAGCCACACAGACGAGCCTTGCTCGGCTGGCACTGCGGAGCCGGGGGCCCTGTTGGGTGCAGACCACAGCCAGGTAACGGTCCACACTCACGCACGTCATAAGGTAGATGCCCCCATAGGTGTTCACGTAGAATATAAATGCTGTCAGCCTGCAGAGCCCTTCGCCAAAAGGCCAGCTGAAGTCCAGTATGTAATAGGTGATCTTCCCAGGCAGGGCCAGTGTGAACAGTAGATCAGACACTGCTAGGTGGACCAAGTAGACACATGTTGAGTTGATCTTCTTGCCCTTTTGACAGGCAAGGCAAAGGGCGAGGATGTTTCCCAGGGCGCTGAAGACGAAGAGGACTGTGTAGAACAGAGAGAGCATCACGCTGGCCGCCCGGGGTGGGTGGCGAGGAAGGCAGAAGCTGGCATTGTGAGAGATGCTGCTTGGGTCAGCTGTGCTGGAAGTCATGTCATGGAGGTCCTTGGGGAGACTTAATAAACAAACAAACAAACAAAACAATATTGAATCAGTGGAGTTATGCCTCTAGTTAGCAATAATTAAGAATTTGCTGAGGCGACATGCACATGAAAAACACATCTCTTTTAAAAAACTTTTTGTTGAAGTGTAGCATACTGTTCCAGTTGCTACTGCTGTGTAACAAATTACCCCCAAAATTTAGCAGCTTAAAACATACCTCATTATGCTCACAGCTTTTGGGCAGGACACAGTGGGAATGGCTTCTCTCCGCTCCTCAGTATTAGCAGCCTCAGCTGGAAAGAGTCAACAGCTAAGGGTGACTCAGTGGCAGAGCTGAAGCTATTGGAGATGACTTCACTCTCATGTGTGGCAGCTAATGCTGGCTTTCAGCCAGAGTTTTGGCTAAGACGATCACCTAAAGCATGGGCACAGAGGCTCCTCATGAGACACGGGCTTCCTCACAGCATGGCAGCCTAAAGGTAATTAGATTTCTCACACAGAAGCTTGAGGCTCCGAAAGAAAGTGTCTTATTAACTGGGACAAAAGCTCCTTAAATGTATTAAAATGTCTCGTATTTTCTGTATTCTGATACACTGACATCTTGCTGCCTTGCTGACCCTGGAGGGACTGCCCCTCCCTGGGTTAGCCCATTCCTTAAGTGTGCTTTTCAAATGCAATCCAACCAATCCAGAGCCACACCCCAACCACCTCGTTATTTGGCTTTCACATTATCTTTCTTCCCTAATCACCCCAAACCCAAGGTCCACACTTCCAGGGGCAGCCCTGTTTCCAGAGCCCGCTGAAATTATTCACACTAACCAATCCTAAGCCTGTTTACCCTGCCTTGCCTGTTCTTTTCCTCAGAAACCACAATAGAGGCTTTGCTCTTACTTCCAACCCTCTCATTCTGTGCCCTGGTGCTTCCTGTGTGGCCCCCTGTGATGTGGTGTGCCCCTTCTTCTTGGGGTCCATGTGTAACTGTCTTTTTCAATGGCAATCGTCTCCTGATCTGTTGGCCTTACTGAACCTCAAATTTTCAATTAATACACTGTATTTTAGAACACTGAATCACCTCTTCTAACCTAGCCTTGGAAGAGTTACATCATCACTCCAACCACCCTCTATCGGTTACAAGTGAGTCACAAGCCCACCCAAAATCAAGAGAAAGGGACATATAGCCCCCACCTCTTGATAAGAGGAATGTCGAAGAATTTGCAGCCATTTAAAACCTACAACAAATACACGCGAAAAGTACACAAGTTATAAAAGTACAGCTTGACGATTTTCACAATATACACATGCGATTAGCACCCAGATTAGCAAATTCACCTCACCAGCCCCCCAGAAGCTCTCCTTTGTCCCCTCACCCTCTACCTCGACTCAAGGGTAACCGCTACCCTAACTGCTAAGATCACAGCTCAGACTCTGACCTCAGTGCCTCAGGAAGGCTTGACACCGATACTCTGAGCCCAGAGATTTCAATCTGCTCAGAGACTTTGGAGAAACTGCCTGCGGATGGCCCGCTGCCACTCTGGGAAAGACAGGGGCCTGGGGAGGGGCTGCTCCTCCACTCACCCTGTGCCTTCCAGGTGTCCCCAGGGATCCCCTGTATCGCCCCCTATTTCTCTCTCTCACACACACAGACATACACACTTTCGCATACCTGTACTCACACATGCTTTCACGCACACCCTTGTGGAGGTGTGACCTGGCACCCCAGAGTGGGCAGGCTGATGCTGTGGCCCTGGGAACTCCCCCCGCCCCTCCCCCCCACTGCCATCGAAATTGCTGCCCTGTGGAGTAAGCTCTTCCAGGGAAGAGACCAAGTGCCAGTGCATTCTAGGAGACCTGCTGGCCCCAACTGAAGAGCAGACTCTTCTTCCTTGTTCCTTCCTTCCCTGAGCAATTTGGTCCTCAGGCCACACTGAACTTAGTGGCATCAAATGAGTTGGGGGCGATGGGGAGAGGGATTCTGTGCAGGAGTCAGCATGGGAGCAGGGCAAGGAGAGCTGTCGTAAGCGGCAAGCTTAGCTCAGGAGAATCTCAGCCACAGGTCAACTCACCTTCCAGAATCAACTTTTCCAGTCACAGAGCAGCTACTTGATGCCTGTTTGAAAGTTGTGGGTTCCTTTTCCTGTTCAGGACTCACAGGGCACTGGGATGGGACCAGCTCCTAAAGAGACCCCCAACCCTTGGCAACTGTCCCCTTTCCCTGAATTTTCTGGCCTCTTCCCCAGGACACATAGGCTGGCAGCCTCACTCTACCAGGCCCTCAGGACCTGTACCCCTCCCTTCGCCGGTGGCACACCACAGTACCCCTTAGGCCCTGAAAAGTGTCACCTCCTCTCTGAAACCTTTCAGCCTCTGCAGAATTCATGAGCCTCTCCAACCTTGGTGCTTGTGCAGCTCTTGATGACAGCTCTCAGGAGGCTTCTCACAGTGATACACTCCTCAGCGAACCTCTGCAGCTTCAACACCCTGAGCCCTGTGGCCTGTGCTAGTCCTCCTTTTCCGGTATTTGGCACAAAACAGGTGCTCTGGACCTACGGTCCCGCTGCAAGCCCCATGCTTCCCCTCCCTGGGACACCCACAGAGGAGAGTGGGCAGGTGCTGTCATGACTGTGAGTCTAGGCAGATCAGACCCGAGTTAGGAGCCCTTGAGAGAGGGGCACACTCTCAGGCCCTCACATCTGCACTGCTTCCAGAAGGTTCTGAAGATCACCCCTAGGGTCTGACCCAGTGAGGCCCATCAGCAGGTCTCCCTCAATGAGCCGGGGCTGACACTGGCCTTCGATCTTTCTATCCTGACCCATCCTTCCATCCAGACAGGGATCCCAGGCTGGTGAGCTAGGGTCTGATAGAAACGTTCTACCCCACTGACAACAGAAGCAGAAAGAGAGGGTGTGAAGAGCAGCTGCAATCTGAGCCTTTCCTTCAGAGCCCCAGGACCTTGCTCACGCCCTGAGAAGAGTCACCTGTAGTTGACCTACCTCGCTCACCAAGGGCAATGCACAGGGAGCCAGCAGAGCCTTGTCCAGTGGTCAGCTGCCTTCCTAGGTGGCACAGGACATCAAAGTGCCTGTGCACTCTCCTCTCGGCAGGAATTAAATCAGTTTACCACTAGACTCCGCGCTCTTCCTCTCTTCAGCTACCCCTGCTGAAAAAAAAACAACAACAGGGTATCAGCCAAAGTAATCTTCCTGCCACAGGACGTGTGCCCTCAGCCACAAGACCTCCCTACCTGGCCTATACCCCACAGCTTCGGAGGAGGGAGGGAAGAAAGTCACTTTGGGAAGCCAGTTTCCTCTCTGTTCCATTTCTGTGCCTCTGACAGGCTGGGATTTAAACTATGGAGCCACCAGAGTCAGGAAATTCAGAAGCATCCACCATTCTCCCCCCGCCCCATCCATGACTGGGGGTAGTGAGCTAGGAAAGCAAGAAGTGCCCCCTGGGGACCCTGACAAGCTCCCCCTCTGTGTAGGAGAGTGGAGAGGAGACATGGCCTGGCCTGGGGTTTCCTGGATTCTGTGCCTTAATGGAGCCCAAAAGCCATATTTGCAGCCCTGATAGGCCGCGCTCCCAATGGATGAACTTAGCAGGGGCTGGATAGGCCTGATGGCAATTAAACCAGGATGTTCCCCACCAGGGCAAGGCTGGGCCGAGGCCACCCTCTACCACTGCTCCTTTTTAACTCTCATTTCCCAGAGAATGGTTTTCTCTACCACACGGCTGGCTAATAAAGGAAGCATCAAACCCATCCTTTGATTAGCATCTGGCCTCACTCCTGACTGGTCATCTTTGGAATGCAAGTGTGTTCCTTCTGAGGCTTTCCCGAAGTCTGCCTCAGTCAGCAGACGGCTCTCCCACCCCAATCACTCACTCCCAGACCCCTGTGTCTCCAGCATGGCATCCTACGTGCCTCAGTTTCCCCCAGGTTAGAATGTGGAGCAACACACCCTCCTATCTGGCCTGCTGCTGACGCAGGCCACGGGACCCAATTTTTCCCAGGTATAAATTGGGCCCTAAAAGATGTCCCTCGAAGCTCATGATCTGTTGGAGAGAAGTTTCGTAAAGAAGCCCTGCCTTACCAAAAGCTTGCCATTGAGGTCCCTCTGAGCACCTCCAAAAGGAATAGCTAATGCAGCTTCCAGAGGTGCTCGACTTATACACGCCTCACAGACCCTAGGGGAACCTTCCTCTGTGCCCTCAAGGCATTTGGGATTATCCTATTAAAAGGTGAGACCTCTATGGCTTAAGAAGGGCAAGACGTTATAAAATACTCCATACATTGCCTTCAGTACATGTTTACTAAGTGCCAACTTGAAGCCAGGCACAGCACCGTAAGTACAAGTTTGCGCAGGAAGGAAAAACACTTTCCTCTGCCCTCCTGGGTGTAGTGGCTGGGCCCTGCCAATTAAACTGACAGAAGATAGACGAGCAAGAGAAAAGGCACACACATTTCATTTGATGCTAATAGTTTTAGGAGGCACAGGAGTCTTCCCAGAAAAAGAGTAAGATCCCAAAGAAGTGGTTAAGGCCTAAGAGTTTATATAGCATTTTAACAAATGCAGTAAGTTGTGGAGATGTGACAAGACAAAGGAAGGTAAATAGAGGGAGAAATTAACATAGGATAAGGGCCGCTTAGTAAAGTTTGTCATGCAGGTTCTTTTCTGTTGGCTCTGGGCTAAGCACCTCTCAGGTGATGACAAGCTGTTCTTTCTCTAGTATGGGGAGTGAGACACACTGAAAACTTACATCCTGCTTTTAGCCAAATCGAGGGACAATAGAGGACTTTTTTCTTCTATTTCTACTATTTCCTTATTGCCTTCAGCTAAAAATCGCCTTTAGGCCGAAGGGCATGTCCAGGTGGCATATTCTGGTCCCCTTCATGCGTACCTGTGACTGGAAAGTGCGTGGTGGGCCCTCCGCCCATGCTTGGCCTGGAATCTGGTGAATCTCTTGCCAAGTTATCATCTCTTCTGTGTGTGCGTAACCTTATCTCAGTGTAAGCAGTAGCCCCCGCTGGCCACTTCTCTCTGTTCCTCATCCTGTGTTGATTGTCTATAGGGCACACTGGACTTCACATTGTCCTCCTCCAATGGTTTCTTATGCAGGAGTGTTTTATTTCAACCAGATAATGAGTTCCTCAGGGGTAGAAACTGCAGCAGCCTCTTTTATCTAAAAGAGCTGCAAAAGTGGGAGGAATGGGAGACATCACACAGTCCTTGGGAACTTTGAACCCAGATGAGAAAACAATTATGTCTTTATTTTCATTAGGCTCTAACTGAAATGTGGCATTGCAGTTACGGACGTGGGCAGCCGGCCACAGTAGTCTGAAGTGTGACTTTGTCACTGATAGAAATCGTGTATTTTTTCATAGTCCATTACAGGTGATTCAGGTACC